ATATCTGGGCACACCTTAGACTTAATGATTACTCGTTGCTCGGATTCATTTCTTTCAGCCAAACCTATGACTGACTACTTGTTTTCAGGCCATTTTACTTTTCTTTGCGATCTTGCCTTAAGTAAACCATCTCCCAAAACTGAGCAAATATCATATAGAAAACTGAAGGCAATCAAGATTGAGGATTTCAAACAAGATCTGTCTACCTCTGAGCTTTGTAATTACAGTCCAGATTCGCTTAACGATCTCGTTAAATGCTATAACGATACCTTGTTCCAAGTGCTCGAGAGACATGCTCCACTTCGATCCAAAGTTATACGATCTCAACCTCTGGTTCCTTGGTTCAATGAAGATATAAAAAATGCTCGCCGTGAAAAACGGAAAGCAGAAAGAAAATGGCGACGCTCTGGCAAACACGACGATATGTTGTCATACAAAAAGATCAAGAATACAACAAATCGATTAATGAACGAAGCTCGAAGCCAATACTATCATGACTTCATTAATGATAACAGTTCAAACCAAAAAAAGCTCTTTGCAGCTGCGAATACTCTTTTGAATCAAAGGAAAAAGAACACTGTGCTACCACCTTGCGATGATAAGCTTGAATTAGCTGATAGGATGGGCTCGTACTTTGTTCAAAAAATCACTGATATTGGTACAAGACTCGACGTTATGGCTCAAGATCTTTCCACTGACCCGCTTTTAAACTGTACATTGTCACCAACCCCCAAATTTAGCAAATTTACAGCACTTTCTGAACTCGAAATACGGAAACTTATCGAAGGTAGCGCAAAGAAAAGCTGTTCTTTTGATCCGATGCCCACCTCACTGGTTTTTAGCTGCATTGATGTCCTGCTTCCCGTGATCACAAAAATGATAAATCTATCCCTCGTGGATGGTGTGTTTGCTGATGTCTGGAAATGTGCACTTGTTAAGCCGTTGCTCAAAAAAGCTGGTCTTGATCCACTTCTTAGTAACTACAGACCTGTTAGTAATTTGCCATACATATCGAAGCTCACCGAAAAGGCGGTGTATAATCAACTTCATTTACACATGATAGACAATTCTGTTCATCCAGAAATGCAATCATCTTACAGAAAAGGACATAGTACCGAAACAGCGCTTCTACGAGTTGTTAACGATATCTTAATGGAGATGAATTCACAAGAGGTCACTCTTCTTGTCATGTTGGATCTTAGTGCCGCCTTCGACACTGTTAATCATGATATACTGATCAAACGTCTACACGAAGAATTAGGTATTGCTGATTATTCCCTGAGCTGGTTTGAGTCATATCTCCATAACAGGATGCAAAAAGTCGACATCG